GACGTCTCTGCTTTTTGATATGCTATCTAGGTTTGCCATAGCTTTCCTCCCAAGGAGCAAGGAGTTTATTAGTAACATTTCCTTTTAAATATAAAAGTGAACCAATAAACCCTGCCTGCTTATAAACCCAATAAATGTAAGAGTATAAGAGTCCCCCTCTGTTCTAAAACCAATCAAAGATCCATTTCTTGTAGTATTCCATTTCCAACAATAGAAAATATACAAAATGAGCATGATAGTGAAAGGAATTTGGACACTTATGGGATGCCCCCAGAATGGATTTGATAGGGTGTAATGACTAGAAACCTAATTGGCATACTTTAGGTGTCTCGGTTCAACATTGTATGGAATTTTAATTTACTTAAACATGCTATTAAATAAAAAGTAATTAGGTGAATTCACACAGCATACTAAGCCTTCAACCATGGTTTATAAACCACTGTGGGTAGATCCGTGCAATATGGTAAGCTAAAACAAAACAAAACAAAAAAAGACTTAGTACAATTGTCAATGCAATAAATGAATGTATCTAATGTTAGTCATATTTCTATGTTCACAGAACTGAATTTCCCTTTTTTCACATCTCCCTTTGCTTTGCATTCACATATCTGTTTGGTGCCTCCCAAATCTGTCTCAAGGAAACGTTTCAACCTTCAGAGCCAATTTTGAGGTACCCAAAAAGGTGTGAGAGAAGGGACATCCAGTCTGTTGGTGGATCCATGGAGGTTAGAGGAGAACATGAGAGAAAACACATTTGTTGACTGAAAAGTTTATTCAAAATTAATATTTGATTTAGTCTGATCTTTTTTGATGTGAAGTAATGGAAAACCAGTATACCTTTCTATTTTGATGGAGGGTGCTCTGAAAGTTATTTTCTCAAGCTGAATCAAGGTTGAAGGAGGGGGCTTAGAAAAAGCGAACAGACAGTAGATTGGGTCTGCCAAAAGACGTTGTTAGCAGAAAATGTTTTTGAGATTTCAATGCACTGACATTGCACTGTGTGCTGCATACTTGCTCCTGGGAACTCTACAATATGTGATTAATTGTAAATAAAGAGAATATTACAGAACAGAAATTAGGTCTTCATTGGTCTTCCCTTAAAAATGAAACTGATCCAAGTCGAGATGCTACTGCAGAAGGTTCTACTGTTAAGGAAAATGGGAAGTATCAAACTCACTATTTTAAATTTCTTCTGAGTTGAATGTAATGTAATATGATTTGTCTCGTTGTTTTCCACACTAGGTTCTACAGTTTGGCATCCCGACTGTAAGCAGTCTACAAAGGGAGATGAAAAGCTACGGGTAAGAAGTAATTTGTATTTTCTGGTAATTTTTTAAATAGTATGGTGATTTCTTTCACATAAAAAATGTTACTTTTTTCGCAACTTTAAAAAATTCCTTTTTATAATTGTTGGTCTTTTTCTTGGTCTTGGGCCATAAATAAAATGTTGTTTTGATTTGATTTCTTTAGGAATGGGAAAGCTTTCTTACAGCCTTAAGCATATAATGCTGTTTATTTAAATTTAACGTAACTCTAGGATAAGTATCAGTATTTATTCCAAGAGAATTGGAATAAATCATGTATAAGATCTCTGCCAATTTATGTATTTTATCATTTTAAATCCCAGTAAAGAAAATGGGAGTCATCTGAATACATGATTATGCTATAAACTGATCGTGTAATCCCATATACTTACAAGCGTACATACTCATAACTGATAGAATAATCTTACATATGTGAGGTGGATCACGTGGCTTTGTCCAGATTCCATGAAAGAAAAACAAGTGGCTTGATTGTTGTTCAAGGGTCTTCCATTTCTGTAATGATTTTAGTCTTGCAAAGGCTTCTGAACAGTTGCTAAATTGAAAGTTGCTTGTGCATTTCCCAAAAACATCATATGCATGACTGTAGATCCCTGGAGGAAAAAGAAAGGAACAGTAACAAAGAAATAAAAAGTATTCTCAGATTCTGGAAAACAGTCATGTGAAATTCCGTGATATTTTGGCAAATGTCTATTGCCTTTCTAGGAAAATGGTATTCCAGTGTCCCAAAGAAGGCCTTGGAGAAAACTGTTGTGCAGTTTACTATTACTTTAAACCACCTGTGTCATTTTGACATTTTTCCTCTTTCTGCACCCTTACATTATCATACAGTTCAGCAGTATATACAATTCATAAATACATAAATTAATTTCCATCATTTGCAGATTTCAAGGTAATACATTCCACTGTTACTGATAATGCTGGATCTGGATTTATTGTTCTATTCCTGAAATAAATTGAAAGGTTCCCACTGGGCGAAGGAAGGAGTTGAATTTATCTCCCACATTTTCCCAAAAGATTTCTCGTTACACTGGAGCAGTATGGTTTTTTTTGAGGGGGGGAACACAAAGGAAAGAGGCATCAGCAAAATTCACTCTTGTTACTTGTATGAACAAACCATTATGTTTATTATTAAATTGGATGTTGTATCCATTTCTGTTCCACAAAAATACATTGGCTTATATTTTGCTTCATTTTCTTCATTCGGCTTCTTCTTCTTCTTCTTCTTTTTGTGTGTGTGCACCTTTGTGTCAGACTTGACTCCTGGTATATAGATTAATTCCTTAAATACCAACTTTGGATATCATTAAAATCTGTAAGCCAGCTTAACTAGCCATCAAGATGGAACTATTGATTAATAGTAAAGCCAGAAGTATGGTTCTTTTTGAATGGTTGTTAGCCACCTGGTGTCTTGGGATGTGGGCAGGATATAAATGTTAATAAACACGTTTGTGATAGGATTAATTCATCTCTAAATTGAAGATGTAAACAGATGCTGTTGGCCAGATTGTTTATCTGTTGTTATTAGTGTGGTAAGAATCCTTCAGCTAATTGTTATTGACCTTTCAAAACCATTTAGACTTATTCTCAGTTTCCAAGGAAACTGCAGTCATTCCTTCCTTTCTCTCCTATACGAGCAAGTGATCTTTTCTGGTTCAGCCTAGTAAGAGATTTGCATCTAAAATATAAAGTCTATTTCTTGAGAAATGGTAGTCCCAAAAAGTGTGCAGTGCTACAGAGAATCAAAACTGTTCTCATTGTATTTCCCCTGATAGCCAAAATACACAACCAGAATTACTTGTTCAAATAGCTTCAGCTGTCATCAGAACAATATACAGCATTTTGTCTACAACGGATCTTGGACTGCATGCTTCTTATTATCAAGAGTTCCTGCTGGGTTAGATTTTAGGTGGAGTCCATAAAAAACAATGATTATTTAAGATCTGTTCCCCTTTGGATATTTCTATGGAAGGTTACAGATGCCAGAAAAAGCAGGAAATAAAGTAATCAGGTATAAAACTGCGGGGAGTGTTTATTCTTTTCAAACACTGCCTATAAGGGTTTTTTTTGAAGGGGGTTGACTATAACTCTAACTAATGTCATGTACCATGCTTTTCATTATCACACTGATTTTAAGGAGATAATAATTTTTGTGGAGAGCGTGGAACCTCTCTTTAATGTATGTTTGGGAAACCTTTCTCCTTTTTTCACTTTCCTTGTTGTTTCTGTTTTATGACAGCATTCCTCATCTGATTTCTTTTATCCAAAAAGTTTGGTTCTTCGCAGGCCACGCTCTTCAGAGGTTTGCAGTTGTGTTACTTCTTTCTGCACTTAAGTTTGCTGCTGCTGCTCCCACTTCTTTCACCACCCTTACTTTTCGCTTTGCCCCCTCTTCTTTTAAACCACATAATGCACACTTGATTTTGAATTTTCACAAGCAAATGTCACTAGTTGTTGCTAATGTGTATGTTTGCAGAGATTGCAAAAAGTAATGAATAAGGATGCTAAAAAGACTATACTGAGGGTCCAAGGTTTGCCCAAGGTTATGGCAATGAAAATGAATTCTGGAAGATACTGTTTTAAAAGAAAAATAAATCATCCAGATCATCTTTTGGAAAAAGGACATTCTTCAGTCCTTGTTTTATACAAAAACACCACCTGTAAATATGGTAGCCCAACCTCACTTCAGATAATACTTCAGATATTCCTTCCACTTTACAGTTCTTTCTTGCCTAAAAGAAGGGGTTAAAATAAGTATAGGCAGTCTTTTTTTAAATTCTCAATGGGCCTAGTTTAGTGATGAAGCAGGCATTCATTTGCCTAAATATCAGACTGCATTCCATGCCATCTACACATACTTACTTACTTAAGCATTACTTCTCAAGCTAGAGTCCACAGTTTATACCCCCAAGTTTCAACATAGACTCAATTTAGATATTCTCCATTTTGGTAGCACTAAGTAAGCAATGTATTTAGGCACAGCTACTTGACATTGTTTTATTCTAGTGTAGTAGATTTTCTGCACAAATTAAACAGTTATGTATATTTGTTTGTGGTTGTATTTATTTTTGTGTAAGCATGATAGCATGGGTAATATATATGTATTGCATGCCCAATTTATTTGGTTGCTGTTCAAGTCAAGTATTTGGCTGTAATTAAAATTGTTACTTATTGTAAAATGTACTGTCAGTAAAATTTTATGGACGATACAGAACAAATAATCACTAAGTCATGTGTTTGAGGTATCTGTTTGCTGTTCTGTAATGAGTAGATGCATGCTACTACTACTTGAGATTGAATATTGACAGTTTCTTGATATTAATTTTTTTTTATAATAATTTTTATTGAAGTTTAAAAATACAAAGATAAAAGACTAATACAAACTAAGAAAAATATAAAAAAGAAAAAGAAAAAATTAAAAGTGCAGAGAGAGAAAAAGGGGGGAGAAGGGAAAAATATAAAGAAAAAATATATAAAGAAATGACTTCCCCCTTCATCAAGACAAGTACAAACTATTTCATTAACTTATCACCTTCTCTACCATTTCAACCAAAAATCTCTTCATTCCATATCTCATCTTTTATCTATTAGCAAATAATAAAGCCTCATCATTCAATCTTAATCGGCAAAAGTCCATTAAGAGTTACGAGAAATAATATGTATATTTTAACTTTAGACAAGTAAATCGATTTCATATTCATATTTCAGATTCATATTCATATTTCATACACAGTAACTTAACATTTTCTCTAAAACTACAAGAAAAAGAATATCTTCTTCCTATATCTTATATCTCTAAACAAATCTTTAAAGCCTTATTACTCAAACGTAATCAAGAAAAATTCCATTAAGAGTTATCGGAAACACCAATATATTGAAAATTTTGATCTTTAATCCCTTCAAATAATGTCCCACAAATTAATTTCTTATCATTTTCTTGTCTCCTCTCAGAAGTCCCTTCACAAGTTTAAGACTTTCCTTCAGTTTTAACACCATAGCTTACCACTTTCTCTAAACATACAACAAAAAATCTCTTCTTCCCATATCATATCTATAGACAATTTTTTAAAGCCTTGTTATTCAATCCTGGTCAAGAAAAGCCCATTAAAAGCTACTAGAAAAAAAATCATATATATTTTAAGCTTGATCAAATAAGCCAACTTTATCATCCTTCTTTTTGCTTTTATAAGTCTTGATGTTTATTCCTTTTAAATAGTGTCCCAAAAGCTGATTTCTTTTCATTCTCTCTTTATCTTTCTCAGGAACTCCTTCATAAGTATAACACATATCTTTTGTAGGTCCAAAATAAGAAAGTTGTCCAAATCACTCTTCTGAGTTGAAATCCACACATCACTGTTCTGATTTATTATTTGTGTGTCAGCTATTAAAACATCAGCCAGTTCCATTTGTAAGTCCTGTAAATATCTTTGTATCTTTGTAAATATCATATCCTGTCATTTTTGAATCCATATCCAAAACAGCCTGATTCTCAGTTGTATCCTATTCTATTTCCTTTTTAAAATCTATTTTTATAGTATCAGACAAACTTAAGAAAAAGTTCTGAGTACATTGTTACCAAATATCCTTGAATTCTTCTAGAGTTAAAATACTTTTCTCCATTCTGTATTAGTGGGTTTTCTTGTTTAATTATAATCTTTAGTTCTTTCTGGTTGCCTCTAGTAACCAGCCTTCATGGTCTCCTCTTATCATGTTTTTCTCTAAACCATTCCCATGGAAAGGTTTCTTACATTTATATTCAAAATCTTCATATATTTTTAATAGGATTTTAAACAAACCAGAGGAAACATTTATATAATTAGTTTCAAAGTCTTATTTCCAATCAATCTGGTCCCTTAGTCTGCTTATAACTTCCAAAATCAACTTTCTAATCCCCCTTTTGCTGCTTGTTTCCGAATAATTTTCTTTCTTTAAGTTCTTAAACTTACATGAAATTTCTTTCATTGAGGATTGAAGAATCACCCAGTGTAATGAAACTTGCCCTTCTGAAGTCTCTTAATATCTAAAAAGCAATTACAAGCCATTTGCAGAAGTGCTTAAGAGAGGAAGTGGGCAAACCCAGTGTCCCTTTGAAGGCTCTGAACTGCAGCTTGGGCAAAGCTGATTCTCCCGGCTCCCAAAGCTCTAAAACCTGCCAGAGACCACTGTTTTATGGTCTTGTCACAGGGAGCATCTGTATGGAGCACTGTGGGCAATCCCAAGTCCTCCCTTTATCTGGAGAGGAATTTCAAGGCACCAATCCATTTGTCAGCTCCACTAAAAGCAAAGCCATCTTCAGTCTTCCATTGCTTCCCTGGAAGTCCAATATTAATTTTTTACAGTTGAAGTTTATAGACTTCTCTGACAAAAGTTCTGAACATCTAATGTCATTTAAAAGCAGCTTGAAAAGTTGAATTGAATAGAATAACTTTTTACTGTCACTAGACTTGGAGAACGTTTCATCTACTAAATTTCAATCTATCAAGTATCAGTTAAAGACCAAGCCAGAAATGTTATGAAAGACTTAATTTATGTTTTGAAATGTAAAAGATTTCTTAAACTTTTAAACAGCCTTTCTTTCTTACTTTCTTTCCTTGCAGTATTCTTTGACCATGTGTGTTGAATTCATATAAGACATCACTTTGTTTTTTAATACTTTATTCTTTCTCCCATCTTAGATGTCTTTAATTATTTCACTGCAGAATAGATTCTAACTGATTGTTTTGGGGACAGTGTATGAGCCAGGAGAAACAAAAGAGATTGATGGTCAAGCAAAACACATATGCTATTTCTTTCATTCTGAATAGCTGTCTTGAATTGTACAAGCCATCAAGAGTTGATGGATAAAACCTTGCAAAACAAGTGTCTTCTTATCTGCAAGAGTAACAGCCAGAAAATGTTATAGTTAACTTCTTACCCTACATGTTGGATTTAGCCTCTCTTAGGAGCTTGATTATTTAGAGGGGTCTTTTTGACTGAAGATTTCAACCTCAAATTTCAGGACAAAATTTTATTTTTTATATAAGTTAAGGAGCTAATATGCATTGTTTTGGTTCATTTAATAATTCCTGAAATTGATGGGAGTATAATTTTTAAAAGCTCAGTAATACATTGAGAACCAAATTATACAGGATGTCAAAAGATCCATGATGGATCTCGTACATTTTCAAAAAGGAGAGTTCAAGAGGAAAGTTCAAATGTGATTGCAACAGCAGTACTTGTAAATGAAATGTGTAATCTTTTGTTCTTGTACCACTTATATACATATACAAAAAGGAAGAAATTTAAATGCAAAAATGTAGATTTCCACCCCTCTCCTGCAGCCTAAGTGTCATTTCCCTAAAAAGGTTTTTGAATGTGAACCTTCTGCAGTTTTACTCTGAGCTTATTAAATTAATGGTGCTCATGTTATACATAATTCAGTAGTTGTATTATATATAATGCCTAAACTATAGTTAACCTTGCAATGACAAGCTAAAACAAATAACACTTGGCCTTGGAACTTTTCTTTTCTCCTCCAACATAGCCACAGAAGCTTTAATTTCTTTTTTAGATTAACTAAAAAACTTGCCATGATATTAGGACCTAGGCAGTCTTAATCATCAAAACAACTCAGCACCAAACCCTGTGTTAGGATTCCATCTTTTTAAAAATTACAGTTTAGGATATGGACATGCTCTTAAACTATGGCTATCCTAAAGCAAGTTAAAATTTAAAGAAAGTTAAAATTTTCTAGTTTTCACAGAGGTTAATTGGTAGAAGAAACAAAAATGTACAGACTGAAGTCTCACTACTACAGTATCTCTTCATAAAGATCAATCATAGCCTAACATCATGTGCAAATGCAGACTACTAATATAAAAGATGTCATAAAATTATTTCTGTAAACCAGCATGTCTCCAAAAACCAAAGTGACCTTGCCAACTTTCTTTTTGTGGCCCCCCAGAAGTTACTCCAGAATGGGTAGGACCTAATGTTTTTTTAGCCGTTTTGGTTAAAAATAACAGAATTGGGGAAGATTAAGGGGCCAAAATTCTTACATCCTTCTCAGACTTAAAATCCCTTCAAACTCCTTCAAAAAGGTTTCTGGCACCTCCCATTGTAGCCTTTGTGTCACACAAAACCTGATGTAGCCCTTCAACTGATGGAAGTTGTGCATGCCTGCTGTAAAAAAAAAAAAATTCTATCTAAAAAGTAACTGTAGTCTAAGCATATGTTTATCTCTGTATGAGCCACACTCTTCTGCATCTAAGGAGCTGTTCTTGGGCCTATTACATGATAATGTTATATGAATATAGTATGATTGCAAACCCAAACCAAACTGTTCCTTCTTCTCCAGCTGTTTTCACCATCTTGTATACTGAACACCATCAAAACGTTAAGGCAGGTACTGTAAGCCACGCTGGATCAGTGTCCTTATACCTAGTAGTAGTGCATCCAGTTGGCTTGATGTTCAAGGGATTATTATTCATATGGTGAACTTGCCCTCTATAATTCTCCAGAGCATGACTTGAACATCTGCAGTTCAGAGATGGGCAGCATCACATCACTCTCACGGAAGGATGTGGATGGCTCCAGTGTTGCTTTGTTTTGTTTTTTAGAGATTATCTGTGTAAATTACAAGCCATGCATGGCAAAATCAATGTCACAGTAAAGTAGAGGTGTTGATTTTTGAGATATGAACCAGTTAAACTTTTTATTAACAAAGGAAACAAGTTCCTTGGGATAATGTTGATGTTGCATGTAAAAGTTGGCATTTTTAAATAGCAACTAAAACAAATGTAGTGTCAGTGTGGTGTAGTAATTCAGATGTTGGATTGGGACTTCACCATACAATTTAATATCATTGGAGCAACCTGCTTCACTTGTCTGTTATTATAAAGATAAAAGGAGGAGGAGAGACAGTTTGGTGTAGTAGTTAAAGGCACCAGGGTAAAAGCCAGGAGACTGAATTTTAGACCTACCTTATGTATGAATCCAACTGGGTGATCCTGGGCCAGTCACTCTTTCTCAGCCCTAGGAAGAGGGCAGTGGCAAACTACTGCTAAAATGTTATCAAGAAAACTGTATGGACTTATCCAGGCTGTAGCTAGGAGTCGCTACTGACTCAATGGCACAAAAAAAAAAAAGGGAGAGGGGCAGAGGGGAGAAGAGAGCCCCTTGTATGCTGCCTTGAACCTCCCCATGGATGGTGAGATGTAAGAATAATAAATGAATTTGTCCTAATGTGTAAAAGGCATGTAGGGATACTTTTGTATAAAAATACAAATATTGTGAAGAGAGAAACCATAATCATCACAACAAATGGAGTGAGTATATAAAGTAACAGCAAATAGAGCTAATTAAAGGATAGCAAGATTCAGACTCTTAGTTGTCCATTAGTTACCTGAGGTATAGGAACAATATTGACAGATTTGGTTACCAGTGTGGTCAGAACAAATGTACAGTGCCCTCCAATTGTACATGCCTTATATCATTGGCATTTCATATTTGGAGTGTTGGACATTCTGTAATACTTATATCAGCTGATCTTAAGGTTGCATTTCAGCAAAAATTGAGTTCTTCCCTTGGATGGTATCTATTCTATATACATATTTTTTGTGCAGCAGTCATACCTGAATTGACTTAGATGGATGTTCCTTACATTTAATGAAATTTACTTCACAATAAGTGTCCATACAATTGCAAACCTAATTATCGTAAAAAGAGTCAGAAGGGTGTTTTTTTAGGGGGTGTCAGTCAATATTGTAGTGTTACAGCTATTAGGAAATAAGTTGAACAAAACAAACTAATACTTTTCAGCAAATGCATTTTTTAAAACTCAGAACCATTTTTTCCCATAAATAAATAAACAACATTAAATGTTTAGATTTGTGTAGATTTCCCACACAGAGGAGTAGAAGTAAATTGGAAAAATTTTGAGGAAAATGATTAAAATTAACTTTCCATGACTTTGACTGGAAAAAAAAAAAGGGCTTTCCAGCTGAAGCTGAGTCTGAATGAATAGAATAGTTAACACTTTAGGAAAAGGTCATTAAAAATAGGTGGTCTCTTTAAACAAACAACCACGAATTTTGCACAGTGCAGAAATGATTTTTAAAAAACCCTGCGAATGTAGAAATCTGCCAATAAAACTGAAAGTTTTCTTATGGATCCAAAAGGATAGCCAAATAAGAATGAGCCAAAACGTGTCGACTGGCAAAAGAATCAGATAGTCATTTTATTAAAGATCAATATAACAGAAAGTTGATCAGCAGACAAAATTAATTGCGATCAGTGATAATGGGAAAAGAAGAATGAGTTGCAAAGCAAATGAAAAGCATAGCCTTTCCAATTTTCTTAAAACAAACACCAAGTATTTGTTTGCAAAATATCCAAAATATGACACAATAGTAATATTTTTTTAAAAAAAAATCTTGCTTTACCAAAAAAAATTATATAGTTGATATATGTCTTATGGCATGTTCATTCTGCCTTTCTGTATTGGCTTACTGCCTCTGAAGATCCTCCTGTTCTTTCTTACAGACTATTATGCAAGAATAACTCATTCTCTTGCTTTTTTTTCTCCCCCCTTGCATCCCATTTTTAAAAAGAAAAAGGAACACAGCATTTTGCTGAAGTTGGGGATTGGATTTCCCACCAAAAAATTGGAAGATCCTTTATCTTCTACAAAATAAGGAAAACATACTTATTGCCTTGCTCCTATCTCTTTACAAATATTTCCACAGTAATGTCTGGAATGAATAATGTTTGCTTTCTCAAATCTTCATCCTTGGTTTCTAGCCAGTGAGAGACAAGGAAAAGTTCACCAAGAGTTTAATTATAAATGGTGTTTGGTTCAAGTAAAAAAAAAAAAGGCAAGCATTTATTTTGATTATTTCTTGGACCTTGAAAGAACATTTGTGAGAGAGGGAATGTGTATATATTAGCAAGGCAATTGGTTGAGGCTTTCTAGTCTTCCCTATCCAGCTCTGGTGGATCCTACTGCGCTGGTTATGAGGCAAATAAACAACATGGGTGTTTCGCTCTGAATTCAGATGAGAGATCTTGTGGTCAAGCTGGATTTGCAGTAGGGGCATTCTTATCCCATCTGTCTGTTTTAGTGGAGAATGAAGGGTTGGCTTCATTTGACCTCAGTGGTATTGGCTCCATGGTTTTAGTTACTTGGAATGAAGGATGGTTACCCTTTCTCCCAGAAATAGTAATACTAGGCAGCAATAGAGAGGGACTAATGAAACCTACAAATTCCTATAAGCAGCAATAGATAATGTGTTATTTAAATATGAAAGGGTTTTGCCCCTAAAAGAATGTTTCCATCTCAAAGTAGTTCAGATATTAGCTAAATTGTTATTTCCCTTAATCAGGTAAGAATCTTTTCAATTTTGGATCTAGTTCAGCAAAGCTCCTAGTATGAATTTGATTAGCGAGTACTTAGTTCTGTTGAAGGTAAATCCTGTTTCTGTTCAGATAATCTGAATGTTTTGCACTTCTTTTTAATCATATTCATGCATGCTCATCTTTTTTCTTTACCAATTAATTGTTTTTCAGTTGAATTTATTGGTGTGTGCTTTTTAAAGAAAAACAAAGCTTAAGTGTATTGCCATGATTTAATTTTATTCTGCTATAATAAAATACAAGCTCCCAGTTTTTGTTTTTCTGTTTGTCTGTGTTTTGTGTTTTGTATGTTAGATTTGAGTGTTCTTGAAACATAACCCAATTTTTGTTCCAGTTTTATTTTAGTTAAATGTGCAGTAGGACAACCCTGGCAAACTTTATCCTGTCTGGCAATACCCTCCTGTCTCTCAATTTATATGCAGTCTTAATGAATCTGTAATTTTCAGCTTATGAGATGTGATTTTAACTATAAACTCTGTGGGTGCAAATTCCAGCTCTCAGTGAAAGAACGGGGGTGAGGGAATCTTATGAGCAGCCTTACCCAACCTGAGGCTCTCCAGATGTACTGAACTTCAACTCTCATAATCTTTTGACCACACCGTCTGGAAGGTATGAGAGTTTGACACAATAGAGAATATGAGTTTGGGGAAAGGAACAGACTGATAATGGGAGAAGTGGTAGAGTGGCTCACCTTTGACCATCCAAATGCTTCTTCCTGTGGAATGAGACGGCTCTTAGGTAGTTCTATGAGTATTTGTATACTGAGCTTATTGAACCACCATATTTCCCAACATACACAGATAATAATAATTTTAAAAAACAACAACAACAACTCAGGTCAAGTATAATGTGAAAATTCTGCCTAACCATCTTATTTCACTGATTATTGATGTATCCCAAGGGAACAGATAAAGCTAGGATTAAATGGCCAGGGCACAACCTGGATATCTCATTTTAACTAAGGTAGACCTTTAAATGATGCCACCACATAAGGAGGTGGAAAACGCCATCCAGATGTTTCTGTCTTCCTGCCTCCTAGCAGTTATGTAATCCTGTAGAAAGACCAGGAAAAGGGACGAGAACAAATAATCCAAAGGAGCAGTGCCTGTCAGATCTCCTAATTCAACATGGTTTTTAAAAAGACATCCCCAGCCTGAAGTATAGGGCTATACAGGTTGTTCTCCAGACTTCCAAAGGTTCCCAGGAGTAGGCAAATAAACACTTCGGTGGTTTTTATTCCTCCTTGTATAGACTTTACTATGAAAAGGTTTTCCAGTCCATAACGCTTAGTAACCTCTCTGCAAAGGTAAATCCAGCCTGTTTTATAAGACAAGAAAGGTTTTCGCTGAATTTTTCTTAAAAAAAAAACAAAAAAAACTTGGACATTTGAAAATCAGCTTAGCTCTGAATGTCCCAAACAGGATATCTAACCCAACCATATTTTTACAGTAGTTTTTTTTTTCCCCTTACAGCCTACACGGACATCCTCAGAGAGTATTTATTCTAGGCCTGGATCCAGTATTCCTGGCTCACCAGGGCATACAATCTATGTATGTATACTTTCATAAAACTTTTTATTAATTAGCTTTTGATTTAGTGATGTATTATTAGAGATATACTTATTTAGATGTATTATCATTCATAAAGAAAAACGGTGAGCAGTTTGTCATCAGGGAAATCAGAATTACTTACTCAATTTATTCACATTTTTATCAGTTAAACTCAAAAACTTCTGCCAGAATGACATGTCTTACAAAAAAACTTAGAGAGACTCCTTTGTAAATTGTTGATTTGTTGTTCAGGTATTGTCAGTAATACTCCAAAATTGTAATTTAAGGATATCATTCTATCCCATAATGAGTGGCTGACAAAATAATAAAGCTTGGAAATGTGAAGATTTGTTTTTCTGTCTGTATGTGATGCTCTGTGAAGCTTGGCTAGATAGACACCTGCTGTGAACCATCAAAATGTACAAGTGTATGAGTGCCAGCTGTGGGTATGGTCTCCAAATACTGTTCTTATAGGGCACATAATTAATCAGTTACATGATATTGATGCTGGATACAGCTCACAGTAAGCCGTAATTATTATGTCTATGATTATGAATAAATCACAACTGGCTTAGTACTTACAATTCACCGAGCCATAAACCATGGGTTACAAATTAACCACGTTAGTGAACCAATAAAATCAGTGGGGATTTTTCTGTTCACCTCTTCTGTGATGGATGTGGACCGCTGATTTCAAGCTACAATTATACTTTGGAGGGAAGTCACCATGTTTAGAAATTGCCACTTTTCTACCCTCTGACTGCTGCCCTTTTTTTCCTTATACCTGTTTGAGACAGATATTGCTGAAGGGAAAACTAAACTAATAGGACAGGGGCTCTCCAAAGGAATTAATGTATTATCAAATCCAGGCTGAAATCAGTGTATTATCAAATCCAAAATGAATTTGGGGAGTGGAGGAGGAAAGGTTTTCTTTCCTTTAAAAGTTGTGGCCTAACAGCATTTGTTTTTCTTATAAGCAAAATCACTTAGAACTGGATGGTATTCAAGCGAATCTACAGATTTGTGTTTCTATGTTCAAATTACCTGTTGTCTTTGATTTTTAGGCAAAAGTAGACAATGAGATCCTTGATTATAAGGACTTAGCAGCCATTCCCAAAGTCAAGGCCATCTATGACATTGAGCGTCCAGACCTAATTACTTACGAACCTTTTTACACTTCTGCTTACGAAGAGAGACAAGAAAGGCAGAGTCTTGGAGAGGTAATGATCTGGGAGTTCAATTTGGAACCCTATTCACTTCTTATATGTATAATTATGAAAAGCTAGCTTAGCTTCTGTTGTTTTTATAAACAGCTGATGCACTGGTCCAAATGCTTCATAGTTTCAAAAAAAATCATAGGTTTTTCTTAGGTAGGCAAGACAGAATCACAAAATCCTGACTTTTGATTCTGCTCTTTGCTTTAATAGGCTCCACTTAATAATAATGTGGAACCACTATCAAAGTATCTTTATGGCAAATGTCTTCTGGGGTCCCTTAAATATGGCAGGAGTTTCTGTGTTTATACAGAAATATTTCTTAATTAAACTAGCTACTTCAGTTGGTATGGAATAGCATTCCTCCAGAGATCAGGATGGCCCCAACCCTTCTGGCCTTTTATAGGGCATTGAAGACCTGGATGTTCCTCCTTGGACCAGGGGGATGAACCAGATCTGTTGGTAGATTATTTTGTTTCAGTCTGTATGGATTGAATATGGAATGTTTGGACCCAGACATAAGCTATGTTTATGTATTATTGTTAATGTAGGGTTCTTTGTTTTATTGTTTTAATCCTCTGTGCACTGTTGTGAGATGGGTGGCTTTATAAATTGTTTAAATAAATAAATAAAATATAACATGTAAAACATTAAGAGGATCAAGGTAAGAATACAGTTGCTTTCTAACTGTGGTGTTGTATGGGATGTTTCATTTTCAAAATGCCATTATTCATGTAAAGCTTGTTTTTTTGTTTTTTGTTTTTGTTTTAATTTCAGGATGTAGTCTGTAGTTCAGATTATGTGAAAATGCAAGAAAGTCTCTGGTTGGTCATTCAAAGAGACAACCAGTACTGGCCACTTTATAGAGACTCAAAGCTGAACCTTTCTTCTTTTTCTTCCAGTATTGTGGATAATGATTTTCCAGCTTGATTCTAAGCAGTTCCACTTTCCCACTGGACTGCATTTTTTCAAAATGTTTCCAAATTCCTAAATTACTTTTTCATCTAGAGATTAAGTTTCATTCAACATTATTTTAGAGTATGGTAAACATCCTTTGTGCCAGAAGGAGGGAACCTAATTTGGTGGCCAAAGCTTTTGGAAACCTCATCAGGAGGACTCCCTTGCTCCTAGTTGAGAGAGACAAGGAGCAACTACTTCCTGTCATGAGGAAAACTGGCCTGTAGGGAATCACCTCCTGTCTGCTTTGGCATAGATGAAGGACTACCTTTCTTTGTGCAGAAGAGCCTCTCCTTGTGGAGAACAGAGGGGCCTCCACACTATGTCTTTTACTCCAAAAGCAGATGTTTTCTCTTATTATTTCTGGTTTCATCTTCCATGTGGCTAGATATGTTTAGCTGAAAGAGGATGCTGCAGGTACCCCCCCTAGAGTGATTAGGAGGATTGCAACTTGAAAAATGGCAAACGTCTCACTTGGGAACCTCCCTGAGGTTAAGTAAGCTCCCACCCTCTTGTCTTATAGGATATTGATGAATACAATCCTTTCCTGTAGAGCATTCAGTGAGGAAAATTTTAAATGGGACAACAATGGATATTGTTCTAATACTGGATTGATTTTAATGGATTTTAATTTAGGGATATTGTAAGTCACCTAGGATCATACAAGTAGGCAGCATGCAAATATTTGTAATAAATAAATAAATAAGAGGATAAGAGACCATCATTTAATTTGCATGAATTCTTTTCACAACTCTTCAAGCATAATAAATATCTGTTTTGCATTTTATAGTACTTGGCCATTTCCTACATCTTATCTTAACTGCGCAGTATTTTAAGATGAGAGTTCCTCCCTGCCCACATCCTTTCTCACACACACACACACACACACGCACACGTATATTCAGATGCAAAAGAAAAGTTCTGTAGCAACCACAACATAGATGTACAAAAGAGAAAAGAAAAACATTAATATTCACAGCATTGTCCTAAAAGTCTTTGATCATAGAATGTGTTTTCCTGGAAAGACTGTAACTCAGGCTCCTACACAAAATGTTTTCACAGAGTGCCACCTAGTGGAAGCCAATAAATGCATAGACTATTCTGCTAGTGAGCCTAAAACTTCTTTAAGAATCTTTTTTCTTTTTTCTTTTCTTTTTTCTTTTCTTTCTTTTTCTTTCTTATTCACTATTCTTCACTTTCTATGTTTCTTTTCTAATATTTGTATTGCTTTTATCTTGCTAAAATTTCTTTAATAAAAATTATATACAATTTTTATATACAGTTAAGGAAAAATTTGATTATCTACTGCTTTTGTGGTATAGCTCTGATCCATTTTGTCTTTGTGCACATTTACTCAGTCATGCACTTCAGGCTGCATTTCTTTTCAAGGGCCTCTGCTCTCTTCCTTTTTTGATTTGATTTGATTGGCTGCTCCTCTCACCCACATGAGATGTTTTTCTCACCCTTGCTTTTGTAAGAGTCAGTGTATTTTCGAATAAGCTCACTGCTGCTATGTAATTATTGGAGCACCTTATCCATTAACAAAGCACAGACAATATTATTAGTAGAGTAGATGATATTTCCATATGTGTTGGCAGGGTAGATAACAACCCAAACATGTTAAAAAGAAAAAGCATAGTTAGAGATTTTAATAGGAGTGATTAAAATGGGTTGAGATGGTTTTAGGTAGATGCATATTTATGCTTTTCTTGAGAACTTGGAGGGATGGCCTTTTTCTTGTGGCCAGGTCTGATTTCCATCGTAAAGTGAGCAATCCCTATTGTAATATCAACCCTGGCATGGATTTTGGAAAACTTTACTTAGATGAATCAAACAATACAAAATAACCTAGATTTTACTAGATTTTAAAGCTTCCTCTCTGTTATTGGAAGATTAACATTTATTGGAATTCTACTGACTTTGCTTCAATTGTTCATAATTTTACTGAATACTTGAAGTTTTGATAAATATTGAATGTGTGAAAATGTTATCTCATATAGTCCAATAACTTAATTTAGGGGCATGGTAGATAGGCAAATGAATCACATAGGTCTCACTTTGTTCCATTCGCTGGGTCATATATTATCATTTCTTTTTCTGTATTGTGCTTAGTCTCAGTAGGAAGAAAGAAAGCAGTGGCTGTAAAAGTAGATTAGATTGATGCGCAGCAGATAAAAACATAAAGGGCTATTACTCATGATGACTGCATATTTTCTCCCATACGGAGGGTGCTGTGAGAACAAGCAGAATAGTCCTGCTTGTAGGATTTTATAGACATCTGGTTGGCCTCTGTGAAAACAGTGTGCTGGACTAGATAGGCTTTTATCTGAGTCCGCCCACCCCTCATAATGTATTTAATACAATAGCATTACTCAGTTCTTCTCAGGAATATATCCAAGGGCTCTTCATATACTTGGAGGCTAGTCACATTTTCTGTCCCTGGATACAGAGAACTATGGGCATAACACACTGTAAAATTACCTCTGAATTGATAAAATGTCCTTTACAAGTGGGGTATGCAGTTATGAAACAGGACTACCAGTTATGAAAACCCTTATAGTTTACATATTAAGCATCAGGAAAAAAAATGATTAATACCTGATTATGAAATATTCAGAAGATGCTAGACCCCAGATATTAACAAAATATTTGATTTTCCATTTTTATTAGATTGCGGCTTGGTATATTCTTGTAGCTTACTGGACTTTATATAGTAGGGAGGTTCAGTACTTTACTGTTTTCTGTTAAAAAGAATTTATAAAAGCAGTGACGACCCCATTTTTTTCCCCTCAGAGTTCAAGATACGGCAGTTCCCCTGTGCATGATGAAAGTGTAAGTTGGAAACAGAAGGTGCAAAATCCATAAAGTAATGGGTGATGATATAAAAGCAACTGGCATGAGACAGTCTCTAGTTTGGTTGATTTATGTACATGTTATCTGTACATATATCTGAAGAATAACTGTTGGATAAAATATCAATATGTTTAAATTATAAGATACTAACTTCTACACCATAAGCATTCAGCTTGGTAGGTGACAAGGTGTACAGATTTCTACTACAGCTCTGCACACAAAAAGCGAAGATTAGTTCTTTTACATGCATGAGTTTGTGCAATTGTCGAAGGCTTTCACGGCCGGCATACGATGGCTGGTGTGGGTCTTCTGGGCTGTGTGGCCGTGGTCTTGAAGTTTTGTATTGTCGAAGGCTTTCACGGCCGGCATACGATGGCTGGTGTGGGTCTTCTGGGCTGTGTGGCCGTGGTCTTGAAGTTTTGTATTGTCGAAGGCTTTCACGGCCGGCATACGATGGCTGGTGTGGGTCTTCTGGGCTGTGTGGCCGTGGTCTTGAAGTTTTGTATTGTCGAAGGCTTTCACGGCCGGCATACGATGGCTGGTGTGGGTCTTCTGGGCTGTGTGGCCGTGGTCTTGAAGTTTTGTATTGTCGAAGGCTTTCACGGCCGGCATACGATGGCTGGTGTGGGTCTTCTGGGCTGTGTGGCCGTGGTCTTGAAGTTTTGTATTGTCGAAGGCTTTCACGGCCGGCATACGATGGCTGGTGTGGGTCTTCTGGGCTGTGTGGCCGTGGTCTTGAAGTTTTGTATTGTCGAAGGCTTTCACGGCCGGCATACGATGGCTGGTGTGGGTCTTCTGGGCTGTGTGGCCGTGGTCTTGAAGTTTTGTATTGTCGAAGGCTTTCACGGCCGGCATACGATGGCTGGTGTGGGTCTTCTGGGCTGTGTGGCCGTGGTCTTGAAGTTTTGTTTCCAAAACTTCAAGACCACGGCCACACAGCCCAGAAGACCCACACCAGCCATCGTATGCCGGCCGTGAAAGCCTTCGACAATAAAGATAGAGTTTACAAAATTTTGTAAACAGTGAAGACATTTTTACCCAAGAAGTGTCAAAAAAGACTTGTTCCTCTTTCTCTTTAAAAGTTTGGCCATAGTTTATAGAGAAATTGTTTCTTTTAAGTATGCCTTCAGTGTCAGATATATTTGGTAAATTCCTAATAAAATTTCAAAGGTCACTGAAAGACAAAAGCCAATGAAAATCTGTCATGTTTATTTTTCGTTCTGTAGAACTAGAGAAGTCACATTATTAATGTTTAAGATTATCAAGTTTGTAGTACATGAAATAATTACTACAGTCATTGATTAACATCTGATTACATTAAGCACATATTAGCATAATTATGGCCTTGAACTCAAGCATTTTTTTAGATCCAGGAATCTGACTGTGGGAATTCTGTTGGAAATCTCTTGATTTAATTGGATCAAACAATCTTTCTCATGAAATTACCATTAAAGCATTTATGACAGATTGGAGTAAAATGTCTTACCTGTAATCTCCTTTCTGCTGTGTCTTTCAGTCACCAAGAACACTCTCTCCAACTCCATCTGCAGAAGTAAGTTTGATGAATATGTGCTATATATGACCAATCAAACTTTCTGTAATCCTGTTAAATTGACTGCTATATGATGGTCAGAGAACTGTTTCTGTAAAAGAGAATTAGTAGATCAAGCCCCCTTCCTAATTCTACTTGCTGATTGTCCTGTTAATAGACTCCCCTCCATCATATAAGGACTGCAAGAGAAATGCTTCTTTATAACATTTAGTCTGGTTCTGATCATCAAGCAAGTGGAGAAACATTTTTGGAATAACTTACTGTACCTGCTAAGCATGAGTAGCTTATGAAGGACTTTTATTGGATCATCTGCTATAATACATGAAATATTTTCTTCAGGGTTATCAGGATATTCGAGATCGAATGATACACCGGTCAACCAGTCAGGGTTCCATTGGTTCCCCTGTATACAGTCGTCATAGCTACACTCCCACTATGTCACGTTCGCCACAGCATTTCCATAGACCTGGTAAGGCTAATGAAACCATAGAACCAAATTTAAGAAACTATCATTCTTTACCTTTTGCAATTACACAGAAAAATGATCTTTTTCTTTCAGTTACAAAACTATTCATTATAAAACTGTTTCCTTTTCCTTATCACTCTTTGTTAAGTGGATCTTTCTTTATCAAAGGAGAACAGGAATATCTGCTAATTAGAGATTAAACAGTTTCCTGAAATGAACTAAGTTACTTGAGGCAATAATTTATTAGGAGAACATGGAAAATTAAATTTCTGTAGTTTCTTTCATCAATGGCAAATAATTCTGAATTTCAGGTTATGGGCATTTTTAATAAAGTCAGGTTTTCTGATTGTTTGAATATTCCTTAATTCCTTCTCCTCATTGCTTTGATGATGAAAATGTAAAGCCATTCTTTTTTTTTAAAAAAAGTCTTTGTTAAACTCTAGGGTAAAGACAGATATAATGTTTTTGTAAAAGAGGGAAAGAATTGTTTTTTTAAAAAAAGTTGTCATGAAGTAGTTTCACAGCTGAAGTGCCAGACATACATACAGAAGTAAAGCCATCCTTTCAAACTCAATTGCTGGTGGCCTGGGAAATGTTACAGAAGTTGCCTATCTTTGCTTTCTTCTGTGATTTTCTTTTCAACTACCCAATTTAGTCAACAGCACTGAACTACCTGAACAATCCCTCATCCAAGCATTACTAGAATCAACTTTGTTTAGCTTCCATGACCTGCCAAAGTCATGTAAATACTGCCATCTTGATTCAATTAGTTCCCTCCTCTTACATCTTAGGTCTTTTTTTTTAAAGTTCTGCATCAATATTAATTTAGTAATTTGTTAATACTTACATAGCCATTTGTCATTTTACTTTACCTTTAAAACCAACAATATAAAGTTAATACTTTTTTGAGGGATTTTAGAATATCATCTTTTTGATGATGTCATAAGAAGCCAACCAACTCACACCATCAACAGTTTAGACAGCCTCAGACTTGATTATTTTTCCAGATCGTATTGATGGAGAAGAAAGGTAACTTTGGATTTCACTGGAAAGAGAGCTTGTCTTTATGGGTGCCCACCCACCTAAAATATTATATCTGTCTTCACCTTTTGTAAGCCTCTACAATTTCATATTGATTTATTTCCTGAATGTTTTCTTCTGTTAAACCAAATGAAAAGTTATAGTGATTAGAACTTATATTCTATTTTTAATATGGTTCTTCTCTAGTGTTTATACTGTATTAAATGTTTTCATCACAAGGTGTTCTTTGTTGTTATTGTGGAAATTATTTATTTGATTTATATAGCTGCATATTTGCCAAGCAACTATAACTTTTCTTCTAAAATGTTTTAGCACAACATATAAAGAACAATTCTATAACCTACATTTAGAATTGTTTGGCCCAGTTCTTCCCCAGATAATTGTGCCTTGGAAAATAATTTGAGTTAAAAATGTGAGTTCTGTGAATGCCAATTATACCTTGCTTGTCTGTATATAAGGAGATACAGATTTAAGTTGAAGCAAAGGAGTATTCAATGTAAATCTGATTTTTTTCACATTTCTTCCTATGAATTTTTCTGCAGTAAGAAACTTCTTCCATTTCCTTTGTGTAGTCTTCAGATTCCTAGCTGTTGAGAGCTTGTCTCCTGTGTTTCCCTCAGCCTCCAACCACTTTTCCTGCTTCTGTCTTATTTGGTCTTCTCTTTTCTTTGTTTCTGCTTGGTCCTGCTTCATGAATCCTTGCTGCCGCAGAGCTGCTGTCTAATGGTGTACAGCGGTTAGCCCTCCTGCGCTCTAATAGTCCAATCTCCACCCACAATGATTCCCACCCCTACTCCCCTTTCCGACACCACTTCTTTCCCTATGTCAAAGGTAAGGAGATAGGCCATTCAAGCTAGTGTCCAAATGACTGGAGATTTATTAGCATTCTAGGGAAGCTAATAAGGCACATCTCCATAAGATGGCTATCAACTCTGTGGTGCCAGCATGCTCAGACTTTTGTCATAACGATTATGCTAGACCTGGCATATCTTCTTTTCTTTGAGAAAGTATGTCCTTTCTAAGGGTCCTCCATAGATGAAGTGGTCAGGAGTAAAGATTTCTCAAGAAAATGTGACTGTTTGAAAACTGAGATATTTATCATCTTTGGAGTTCAATTTGGAAACTATCATTGTAAGTTCATATCTCTTTTCAAACACATTGACATGCTTCACATTTTCCTAAACTTAAACTCCCAGACCACGTACCAGTTTAGCATGAAGCTTAAGGATATCTTGCATATATACTAGCTTTCAGTGTAGGTTTACATACATACATACGTATGTTTGTATAAAAGGACAGTTTCCTAGATTACTAAGTCCCAAGAAAATGTTGTCTCAAACTTTTGGGATGAACACTATGTTTAAATGTGCCCTTTCATCCCACATACTTGCGATCTGAATAATGGAGCATGCTTAAATTGCAAATTTAAATCCCCAAGGTAGAAAGCTGCTTTATATCTTGTCTATAGCAATTGTCAGTGGCTCTCTAGCATTTCAGTCAAGAGGTTTTCTCAGCTGTACGTGGAAGTTTCAAAAGGAAACCTGTGAATTTGTTTATGGGAAACATGTATTCTAACACAAAACTATGACCCTTCACACTGTGAAGTGGTCAGTCGTACAACATTTCATCGTCTGAGACTGATGTAATACCTTTAACTTACATAATAGCTACACTCTGAGAATTTTCTGATTTTCTTCCAGTTCTCTTGCTCCATCTACCACTTTGGTCTTCCTGTACAGAACTCTAGTTCTCCTTAAAAACTATTGCATCACCTAGTCCCTTTATTCAGCATTACTTACTCAGGAGTGGTTAAACAGTAGAATTGGCTTAATTAATAAAAGGGAAACAAGTTTTAAATGCATGCCTTCCAAAAGCAAATGAAACAATTTATGTGAAATAAATATATCAGTATACGTAGATCTCAATCTCCTAATTTTGCTAGTATAAAATACAATTACAACCTTTCTTCTCACTTGGTTTTAGTCATGAGGTCCCTTAAAAACAAAGGCACAGCTCATATTTGCATGCACTTGATGCACAAACTCTAGTTCTACATTTCCATGTTTATCTCATGCTTTCTAAGGCATTCTCCCTCCTACTGGCTCTTTTAAATCTGTCATGGCAAAGCTTCATTAAAGATCAACTCATAGTTATCATTTCCTGAAATATAAATCTATCTGGAAGATGGAATTTGTGGTTTGGGTTGGCATTTCAAATTCAGGGGGTGGGGAGGGAAATATATGTATCTAGGCGAATTAAGTGGAATTAAATTAGAGGTCCTTCACCATAATGAAAGATCTCCATTAGTAGAACAAAGTCCTGCCATGCCCTCCAAATCTGCTGATACATTTTGGGAGATTGCTCCATTCCTAATTCACTGGTGTAAAAAATCTGGTGGAAGAATACTAACTGGATTCTGTATGTTTTAGGTACTTCAAAGATTTGTAAGAATGAGTGTGAGTGTCAGTGACTAAGTGTTACTTTCTTCTCATCTCTCAGTCCATACTCACTGGCAGCTTCAACTTGTGCTGCTTGACAACTTGCTTCTACACTTTGCTAATAGTGATGGTTGTGAACCTAGCATTGATTTTGCAAATATGCTCAGTGGTTTCATAATACTTACATTGCACACCCCAAAATATAAGGAATTCCTAGGAATTCTTTTCACCCAACTAAAAAAAATGAGAAATAGGATGCTGTCAACCACATATCCTAAGGTCATTAGGATACATATTTGGTCACTAAATGATCTTTGCTAACACTGAAAAAAAATCAATAACAGGATATTCACTGATACACTTTAACTGTAGTTTCCATTGTTTAGAATTATTTCCCTAGAGGTGTTGTGAGAACAGGATCCATCTTCTTTCCAGGTACTTTCAAATTAGGAACACTTAACTACTGAGTTGGTCCCTCAAACCTAGGATCAGTGTGCTGAGCAGCTGGGGAGCTCCGAGGTTCAGTCAGAATTCTCCAAATGATTTCCCTGCAGGTCATGACGTTATAACAGAAAATACTGATCCTGCTTAATTACCAAGCACTTAATGATACTTTGTTTTGCTTGTTTTAGAAGTTCTGCTTTTGACCTTCCATTTTAATTTACTTCTTTTCCTGTTAGCTCGTCTCCCATTTGCATCTTTCTACACATACAGTGGGGCAAAAAAGTATTTAGTCAGCCACCAATTGTGCAAGTTCTCCCACTTAAAAAGATGAGAGAGGCCTGTAATTTTCATCATAGGTATACCTCAACT